GTAAATTGTAGATAGCTGTCGACTTCGGAAAGCTTTCTATAGATATAGAACTCCGTCGGCTTCCCGAGGTCGCGATAGTGATACCAGGTAGGTACATTTAAGAGTTGAGGCGCATCATGAGATGCTACATATCAGTAGCATACTACTGTGGTAAGATTGGAAACGCTATTATCGCGGTCGGCATACTCGAGTAGGGGTCCGTGACAAGCTATATAGGTGGTATGGCAGTACCTCGCGAGGACGGATGTCAGAGGTTCTCTTGGATCTAACCATATTTGGATTGGTCTACAGTCTTTCAAGGCTGGATTCGATGAGCTACGCGGTACTATTTAAAATCCTGACGCGGGCTTGAACACGCGTGGTACAGTACCTCCAGGGCTGGGTGGGCTGAGCGCATTTCGTATGATCCCAGACTACCTAGGTCAGCACGGCGCATTCGACGTCGACGTCGAATGTCTTAGGGAGTCTATATATTCTGCGATATGTTTACGCATTGCTCGATGTGCGTCTGATCTTCTTCGTGTGAAGTTCCGAGCCGAGACGTTTTGCCCATGAAGACAGGATTCGCACTTCCATGCCCAGGTGGTTACTGATTAGAACTGGAATCGGATCTGATACCAGTACAAAGATCTCGTTAAATCTTCTCGATACCCGATGTACTTATGGTTCGATCGCAGTTGTCGCCTTTTGCTTAAACAATTTACACTACCTGTTTTGACTTACAACTCGATTGCATTGCGGGGTATATAGTCTCATTTCGCTTCACGCTTCGACACTTGCCGTACCGCTTATCGAGCAGCCTGAGCGTACATGCATATGCAAGCCATGTTGAATCGATTACTGCACAAAATGATATCAAACTTGGGCGACGGCCCTGAGAAGCCGTTTGCCCCCGTTTTCTCGACATAGTACCGTGTTTCTTCTCCCGGACTTTCCAACACCGACGCTATAGATAGCACTGACTGAGGGTATGAATTATAAGATGCAAATCTTAAGACATTCAGAGGGGTCGTAACTTCACAGAGCGAATGGCGCTGTTTACGACAGCCAAAGGATGCATTTTCCTTGCACGAGTTGTAGTCGACGAGGATATGACGGGATGATGGATCCACGTTCAAGCGCTTTAGGTCCAGACTTGATGCGATGCCGATTCGAGCTTTGGGGACTCTTTGTATACAAGCTATACTGTCTTCAATATCCCGCTTTCGTGACCTTTTCAAGCTTCTGAGGTATAAAGATTAGCAAACTCTCGAGGTCATTCCGTCATCTCACTTGAGGTAGACCGCATCTATCGTTTCGGAATGCGATGCTTGTCATACCTAAGTGGTACCAATAATAGGATGATGCATGTGCAGCTTTGAGCCTGGGGTAGGGCATGGACGCGCGGAATTGAGATTGCAGCATGCAAAGACCCCCAGAAATTGCCCATGTGATATGTTCTTTTTTGTTAACAGCGTGATTGCCTTGTGATACGCTTGAAGTATCAGGCCCTTATACTTCTAAACCCTCGCCATACACTACGAATGCAATGAGCAGCGTTTGCCCAGTAGCATAGACAGCGAGAACACAAAGAGAAGTAGAGCAAGCTTGATAGTTGGGATGAAAGAGGTTTGTGTATGAGATGCGGTAGTAGGCACATATGTATGCTGACTTTATAGGTGCCTGCCTTTGACATTCGGAGTCATGTCCATATTACGATGAATGTAGCCTCACATAGCAACATAAGAGGACTGACTAAGGTGTACATTCAGTAGTTCGGATCACGCCATTGCGCCACGTGTAGGATCTCATTATCTTATCTGCACTTTAGTAACATGGCAGTTTCCACATCGACCATATCCACAAGATGGACAACCAGCGTTTTTATAAGGTATAGAGGGGTATCCGCAGTAGCAGCACTGCCACACATAGGTGTGACTCTTCTTTCCCTGTCATTGTAAGCTTGTCCTCTGCGTCTACGAAACGGTCGGCGGTGACCTACTGCGGGTACCTCAACACGACCAGATAGCTCGGCGTGTCCATCGAAGGCCCAAGACGGAAATGACCAGAGGATCTCACTCCTTGTAGAGCCCTCATAACAACAGCCACGACCGCTCTCCAGACCTGCGCGTCTGGGAAGAGTCGAAGTACTGGAGCCAAAACGTGTGTACGAACCACCTGCACACGCAAAGCCGTTGTTGTCCAGGACTGATCTTCCACTGTACGTCTGCCTTCCGACTCGTCGCAAGTTGTCCCCATCGTCGTCAGTCTCGTATCGTCGGGAGCGGTCGAATGAGTTTGGGCTATTGCGGGCAGGTGCTTTGCTCTGCGAGGCCGAAACAGAGTGCGGATGAGACATTGCGATCGTCGGACGCCTGAAAGCGCGTGGCAACCAGCTGAAGTGCAAACTTCTAGTTCTACATGGCGGTTAGCTGAGGATTTCTAGATCAAGCGCTCCTGCGATCGTGTCTCGCTGCTCGTCCACGACTCCGACAGGCCGGATACCAATCGAGACGCGTTGAGTTAGCAGCGAGACTGGAACGCGTTCCTAAGCTATCCTGACGCCTCGAGGCATCTATGGCACCTAAAGACAGTGGGACGACAATTTCTGGGATCAATTGACAGGGAGTGGGGTAATGGGTCCAGCAGCGAAGGGCGCTGGAGTTGTCCATCCACATACCTTCTAAGCAAACTGGATCAGCGGTCCGAGCGCCCCGTGCCGATCTCTGGAATCCCGCCGCAACGAAGTTCTCCGTCCAGCAGGAGTAAGGAACCGCTTCAAAATACCTAGGTATCCATGATTATATATACGTCGCCCTTGTTATCACGGTGAAACCTTCAGGCAGCAGATTCTTCCGACAGCTAGAAAACCATGCCTAGGCACGGCAGACTGTGTAAGGTACCTCATAACTACGTGGGCCCATTGATGCAATGAGTGTGGTAGGACGCGTGCTGCTCTGATAAATTAGTACAAGCTACAAAACACGATCAGCCCCTGGGTAAAGAGCGGACCTTCCATCGGCAAGAGCGAGGGCCTTACCTAGGATCATGCAGTATGCCGGCCGGCTGTTTTTTCGACCTTCCCGCAGGATGTGGCCGTACATTCGACCACGAGCCAGAGTTGAACCCATCGCGTACCTTGCCTGTAAGCTCAGATTATGCTACTGACCCATTGTGTAGACTGGCAACCAAGACGTTCCGGAGGTCCGTATAGAGGATGTCAACGCGGGGTTTTGCTACCAATCAACGTATATGGTCTCGCGCTACCGCATACTAATAAGCCAGCTGATCACATATCGTTATCCACCACAATGTGGTCTTACCTAGGTGTTGTGCAACGCCTGTGTCGCAAACGCATCGTTCGCCACCTCACCGCCTTCCGACTGTCGACTTCAGAGCTACCTAGGTACCTCTGCATGCTCCCCCTACCCATGAGACGACGCATATCCAAATCCGGATGGCGTTCGGCATCACTGCGAAACCTCATCGGTGAACAAGGGGGCATCCGGAGTTTTCTCATGCCATATATTTTAAACGTAACAAAGCCCTGAATGAAGGAAAACAAGAGCTTTCGCCACGTCTTAGTGGGATTACACCACAAATGCAAAGAGAAAACTGGCTAGCATGATCATTCCAACTTCTCAACATCAGCGGGGCAATGATTTGAACGCGATCTTTTTTTGGGTATTTCCATGCAGTTCTTTCGTCTATCGAAATGTAGAGACTTATTTCATCTGACCGATTTTACCAAAATGAGTGAACTTATGCGTCGGATGCAGTCTGTACGTCTAAAGAGGCGTGGAAGTACAGACTCACGTGATTGAAAATCGATGCAGACGGGTATCACCCGCCTTTACCTAGCGTATCGATCTTTTCGCCGCCAGTATCCCAATGAGATGCTACCACGGCCAGTCGCCAAGTAAAGCGTCCAGCGTACGTTGCTTGTGATTGGGCATGCAGACCAATTCGGCAAGGAGAAGGGCGAAACTTGTATCACCCAGAGCAGATGGTGTCAGTGAAGCCTGTAGATTAGGACTTGTCATGACACCCTTGAAATAGAAGTTGTGTCTGTAGGAGAGAACCCTGGAGGTAAGCGTGACCTTCGTAGCGCTTAGAAGAGCGCCCCGGGGCCTGGACTGATATCACAACACCCTCGGGGTGGCCTGGCATCACCCACCGCACCAATACCACGAATTTTTGCACTGTACTACAGACCCAGCGGAGCTACGCTAATGGAAAGATCATCGTGCGCGACTGAGCGAGGTAATCCTTGCGCTAGTAGCGTCAATTACGCGTCAGATGCGAAGCATGAATTCACGAAACTCTACTGCGAGGTGTGGCTTGATGCTTTCATCGAAAAAGTGTGCGTTTGGTACTTTCCGTAGTATTGCAGTCTCTGTAGAAGTTGTGGGTGTTGCCGCTCGTAATGCACACACACGCATAATGATGTTTATATCTAGCTAAACACTAGCTGTTCTAGCGTACTTAATGATCTCCACAGCTCTTGTTGTGGACATTGGGCATTTAAGCAATACAAAGACGGGACGGTTAAGGCTAGATTACACAGATATCCAGGTTATCAATCTAAGTGCGACAGTGCAATGCCGAGAAGACGGAATCTTATAATAGTTCTATCCAGTCGTCAGCATGATAGCTCATTGGCCATTAACATTGCAGCTGTCATTCATTAGTCTGAGCAAAAAAGGAGAATGATTGTGTCCGCGATGCATATAGAAGGGTAGCAAAGCTCGAAGTTCGAGTTCCAATTACCAAGCTGTTCAGTCACCCTTGACCTATCATCAGCCCTCAACTGAGACAACCTTGGAATGAAAGCTAATTGGAAGTAATAAGATATTGTCTCGAAAATACCCGATTATCGAACATGTTTCCCAACGAAATGGTCTTTGCAAGACATGAAATTGCGTCGTCCCTAGGCCGTTACGTGGGACTTCATGACCTTGGGAAAGCACGTCCGAGAGACTGTATCGTCTTGCTCACGATCCTTGATCGAGTTCGCGTGGCTATTTATTCGTTTCAGCACGTTTGGATTGTCGTCTCAATGTCCAAACCCTTCGCGACAGACTCTGCCACCAAGCCTGCTGGCTAAGCCATCCCTCCTTCAACAGCAATAGAAACCACAATAGCATCATGACAGCACCGACGGAAAGGAAAAGGGATAGGAAACTTTGTTCATATGGAAGAACAGATGTAGGGATAGCAAAGATACTGGAAACGATGACTACAGGAGAAATAACGACGATAGTAAATTCGCCGATTTTGCCGCCCTGCAAGCTGAGGCGGTACTCCAGACGATTTGCCAGCTTCTCGCAAGCTTCTTGAAAGTAGGACAGCGTCTTCTCGTAGACCCTCAGATCTTCATACACATCGTCCAGTTCGTTGATAGTGCGTTCGATGTGTGCGATCACCCGTGGTAGCAGTGTCTCATCCGGGTCGCTAAAGTAGTCAAGATCTTTACTCTTGAAGCTGTTCCAGCAGTTGACCTTTCCCCTAAGATCCTGAATCAACATTGATAGAAGCTCCAGCATAGGTTCATTCCACTTCGAGATAGCGGACTGCTCGGACGCAGACCCAGCGGAGAATGGGCAAGAAGTCATGTGATGCATGAACGAAGCTTCAATTTGACCCACAATGCGTTGAGCTTCCTTCCTGGCACATTTTACTCTGATCAAGCTGATAGCGAGGTAGTACTCCCGCGCGTCGTAAAATGGCAGATTTGCATCGAATTTGCCCATTGATATTTGGTCTGAGCGCCGGAAATCATTCCGTTCATCCTCACCAATTTCACGGTCCGGATTAAAGTTTACTTCTTCCAGATCGTACGCGATCCAATGGGTATTGTTGAAGCCAGATAGAGTGAAAGATGATCTCGCCCGATAGATCCGCAATGTCCCTCGCTCGTTCTTTGAGTCCAGAAAAGAGAGGTCCATCCATATCTTTTGGTCGGGCTTGCTGCTTTCAGACTTGACTACATCTTCTAGCCTCGTCATGTGCAGTCCGAAGTAGGGGAAATGGTGTTCAAGCTGGAAGACGAGATACCCTTCGGTGGGGATCCTGACTTTCATAGACGTTTGAAGGGTGAGATATCGCCCTAAGAGATCTTGGATAGCGGGGGCTTGGTGCTCGTTTGCGGTTTCAGCTAAAGCGAGCATATGACATGGAGATGGATTAGCGATATGTATAAGCCGGCGGTCTGCATCTTCCAGACTGTTGTGGTTGAAGCGTTTTTCCAGGAGATGACGTCTCAAATCCCACGCTGTCAGGCTCTCCTCGTATGTTCTAGCTTCAGGCACAATACTTTGCGTTGAAAGCATTGGGTGTTCTCCTTGAGCATCGGCAATATCGCATTCGGCGTTATGCTGTTGTATGGCTATGGCCTCCAAAGCTGTCGGGTGCCTCGTACCGGCAGCTGTCGGAGTAGTCGGAACAGCTCTGTCATCGAGCCATGCGTTACCCCGGCTCATCATGCTGGTATCTCTAAAATCGCTTTCACTGATACCGCGGCAGTATTCGATCACAGCCTCGACGTGAGGCGGTGCTCGGTCGTCGTCGTATCGCCGCATGAAGAGTTCGATACCATCATGCCTGTTCGAGAGTTCGCGCAATGACTGCATCCATGGGTATAACTCTAGAGGTTTCCTTGCGCTACTAAATATATGTGGCCATCGCCTGGAGAAACGCGGAGACCCTGGACTAGGCGTAGCTCTTGTGGTATGAGCCATGTGAATCTACATTGCAGGTCAGTTCCCATCAAACGACTGCGTCCGTGGTAGAGATCATCGCCTTCGATGCTCATCTCTTAAGCTGAGTGTGCATGGGTTGTTCACAGAAGGTATGACGTTTTGCACTTACTGCCCGGTCTCCAATTCACCATCAAGAACGTAATATACGACCGAAATATCTCGAATCAGATGATGCCGTGCACAGGTACTTGTGCATGTTGAGATAATAGGTTGTCGAGAGTTTGAATATGTTCATAGATGTGCAGGAGGTCGCGAAGAAGACCATCCGGACTTCATCATGCCTGTCCATGGCCCTCTTCATATACTTTATCTTCCAGTTACAATACAAATACTGCGACATCAATCCAGTGAAGCCTTGGATGCTGTGTTGTTCGGCATCATGTCTTCAACCAACAGGAGACAGATACGTCGTTCGTGTCTTAGTATTGTGACCCGAGGGCAGGTCTCGCTATTCGTACACGTATTTTGGCGTTTTGACACTACGGTCACAAGACTGTTTGTAAGCCCTCGTTTGCCTTTTTTTCCTTGCGCAGACGCAGCTGGGATTGCATAGGATGATACGGCCTTGTGGTGACGTGAATAGTGGGTGCAGGGAAGCGGAGCCAGCTGCTCCAGTTGACTGCTGCTTCGGTCATGCTGTGCTCAAGGGTCCAATATATTGTTGAGATGTCATGGGCTCCAATTTCCTGGTGGCGAGGTTGGGCAGCGAATTTGGCTCGTCTGACTTGCATAGAGCCCTGGAGGTGGGCGCCGGGTTGCCGAAAGGGGAATCCATGTAAGCTACGTCCATTGCAGGGCTGCTTATCGCGTATCTCCGATGCGCACCTGTTGCGTTTCCGTAGATGACGATGACCGTTCGAAAAGGGACGCGAATGGTACTTATCTGGGTATGCATCCCGAGGTCGTCTTGAGGTCTGCCCAGGCTGATGGACACCGGCTTGGAGCCCTGTCATCGCACCAACAGTTTGTGCTACAACGCAATGAGATCGCATAGAATTCCAAAGTTGGGCTCCAAGGCTGACTCGGTATTTTCATGCCTTTGCGCCAAGTCTCTGCTGCGCCTTAGTCATTGCTATCTTCAAGGTACCTAGCCTAGATGTGCTTGAAGTGCTTGAATACTTCCGCAGCCTTGCGGAGCTTGCCAGGCAGAGGCGCCAAGCATCCTAGAGTCGAGACATTATATTCCAACTAAATTGAAGCCTAGGTATCAAAACTATCAAGAGTGAACCACAAGTGTTGTCAGCCGGGAGCAAGTTGGCCCCCAACGACAATGTGCATTAAATAATCACCTGGCTCTAAGACAGGCGCCCTACTCAGTTGTCGACTGAATAGATATCTAGTACACAATTAGTGATTCTAATGCAGGATTTCCACTCGCCGCGATGGTCTCAGTCTATTAGTTGTTGAGTACTACGCTACGCTTCCAGTGACCTTCTAAACTTTCCAAACGCATTAACCCTTTCCGTGATACGTTAGCCTTATGCTTTCCGGCCTCCCATCCAGAGCTTGACGTTTGAGTAGATGATAGCCTAACCCCTCTGCTGGAAGTCCTTCGGGGGCTCTCTATGAGTGCTTCTTTCGACGGTGATGAAGCGTGAATCTCAAGAAGATATGTGAGGTCGAACCTGCACGCGTGTAGTCGTGCAATAAGCGCATCTTCCATAGCCACAGCCTGGACATCCCGTGCTTGAGATAGGAATCGATGAAGACCCGCAATGGCACTAGAATGTAGAATCAGCTCTGAAGGCCATCGTTTTTAAACTCTTTAGGAGAATACACCCACACATTGCCAGATGTAAACATGTCGCTTCTTTGCCTGTGTGTGTAAGACAGCGGGAACTAACCAGATCCATGATCTTACCTACGCAGGTCCGATAATGTAGAGATGTCTGTACTCTAGACAAAATGATCAGCCTCAGCCACAATGGTGAGCGAACATCGGTCCTTCCCCACCGAGCAACGATTTGATCACGTCGAACCGTTGGGGATCTTACGCGTGTCTCGGATCACTACATATGAACATGTTAACTAGCCGATGACGTACTAATGGCGAGGGATATGGTGTGGTGACTGATATGTACCTCATTTCTTCTTGGAAAGAACAGATTGCTCATCGGCCCATCGATCGTATATGTATAAATTCCTGGTTACAATCATCTTCGGATTAGAAACCTAGTACAATACAATATCGAAAATTGGCAAGGCCAGGCGTTCGTGAGGTAACATCGGGATGCAGCAATCCACCGTGGAACTGCCAGCTGCAGTAGATTGGAGCTACAACACTTTAGCCGACGTACTCATGACGACGAGGACTCACAATGCAGAGAGAGCGAGCTACAAACACGACGTCTGATAAGACAGAACGATTCTGGGGAAGACTGGGACAGAAATGAAGCTCTTGGACTACAATCGAGTTATAGCGTCCAGTAAGTGAGCGCAGTGTTGGAGCGACACAAGTTTTTCTACTGACCCACAGCATGTTGCGTGGTTCCATAGATAAAGACCTGAAGCGTACAAGTAATGGCAACGGTCGTCTGACGCATGGCTTGATGCATGAAGCTAGGCGCGACATGAACGATTGACGCAGGCAGCCGACGGCAGGTGGTTAGGCCGACTATCGACAGGCGGAGCCGAAGATAGAGCTCCGAGGTACCGAGCTGTCCAATTCCATCCACGCAACACAAACCTCGATTGAGGTACGAATCGCAGTTTCAAGGCTCGCCATGGTACTCCGAACCCTATCATTTCTATCGCTGGCCGTCGGCGCCCTCGCCGCCGTGACAGCACCTCAAGCACCGCTTGAGCCGTTCGTTCTTGAGCCCTCCACGTCGAAAGACCTCCTGTATCTCCATCGCAAACTCGTAGAAATCGAATCCATATCCGGGAACGAGAAGAACGTCGGCGATTGGCTCACCGGATACCTTCGCGCACACAATTGGACTGTCGAGAAGCAGGCAGCATCCAAAGACCGATACAACCTCCTAGCTTACGGCAGGAAGCGCGAAACAACCATCCTCCTATCCTCGCATATCGACGTCGTACCACCATACTGGCCGTACTACTACAACGAGACGACCGACGTAATCGGCGGGAGAGGCAGCGTAGACGCGAAGGGCAGCGTCGCACCCATGATAATCGCAGCGCAAGGCATAAAAGAACACCTACAGGATGACATATCCCTGCTCTTCGTTATCGGCGAAGAAACAGGCGGCGACGGCATGCGCGCATTCAGCAACTGGGACAAACGCCCATCCTCCCACGAAATCGTCATCTTCGGCGAGCCCACCGAGGCGAAGCTAGTATGTGGACACAAGGGCATGCTAGGCTTTGAAGTCAAAGCGACAGGCAAAGCCGCGCATTCAGGATACCCGTGGTTGGGCGTGAGCGCAAACGACATCATGGTACAAGCACTGGGCGAGCTCCTCAAGCTGCGAGAACACCTCCCATGGAGCACGAAATACGGCAACACGACCATGAACTTCGGGCGCATCCAAGGCGGCGTCGCAGCCAACGTCGTCGCCGAAACCGCAACCGCGAACATCGCCACGCGCATCGCAGCCGGCACCCCTGATGTCATACGCGGACAAATCCTTGACGCGCTCAAAGACGTCAAAGCCTTTGCGCAGAAGGAAGGTGGCGATCTGGACGTACAATGGGGCGGCGAGGCATACGGTGTGGTGAACATAAATTGTGATATTGAGGGCTTCGAGACTTTGACCGTCAACTACGGAACGGACGTGCCGCACCTCTCTGGTGACCACAAGAGGTACCTGTACGGTCCCGGCTCCATCTTCGTTGCGCATTCAGATCATGAGGCGCTGAAGAGGAAGGAGCTGGAACAAGCTGTTCTAGATTACCGTCGCCTTATTCTCAAGGCGACCGAGGTAAGAGAGAAGGAGCGGCAGCTGCAGGATGAGGAGCAGCTGGAATTATGAACTTGGGTGAAGAGACGGATGTAAATTGTAAATCGCTAGATACCCAAACACAGCGAGCGTTTCCCTCTGCGACAGTTATAGCCACTTTGATGTACCCCCACATTTAGTCTACCAGGAGAAGAGTCTCGCTCGATACAGGTAGGTCTGAAAGCAGGTGCTCAATGCCCCTTCCCAAGCTCCACTCCTCGACGTTTTACAGTCAAAGAGCAAACTGGGTAGATGGCACAAAGATTATTCTGGCGCATGATCCCTCATATTTGAAGGGACAGAGCGAACCAGCAATGGGAGAGAATGCATGGTCCGTCTGGGTTCTGTTCGTTGCGCTGGTGAAAGGGATTGAGAGTAACGCGTAGAGAGATGCTTTGGTCGACGCACGGAGCGGCCGAA